ATTACTGGAAGTTCTCCAAATGACATCTTTTTTTTTTTTTTTTCTGTTATTAAACAGGGAAGGCCATGGTAAAATTTCAGTATTTGCTGTCAAAATGGCTTTAGCCACGTTGTGTGGAGGGAAGATCATGGACAAATTAAGATGTAAGTTATTCTGTGTGTCTCTCTTTGCCGATCCCTCCCGTATACCATTCTCCTTTCCCCATGTCCTCTGTGTCCTGCTGCCCACTTTGACTCTCCTCATTCTACAAGAGCCACTTGAGACACAATCTTCATGGATCGTTGCGTTGTGTCAAAGAAATATTTTCATATTAGGTAAATGTTAATGATATTAATATTTTCCTTCTACTTATGGATTATTATGTTACAACCTGTTGAGTATCACCCACTAGGCTTTTTGTAATATTAAAGTAAGATATATACTCTTTCAAGTTGATTGTACTGTACTGCCTCGCAGGTATAAGTCCATCATCACAGGGACATGAAGGTCATGTTGGGAAGCCTTCTTTTTTTTAGGTAATCCAAAGCCAAAACTCCTGGCACATTTCCTCATTATTCTCAGCCGGTGCTGTTCAAGTCACTGGGAATTCCAAAGGTTCCAAAATAGACATTGCCAGGGTTACAGGCATAAGAATCACACAGAGACGCTATAGACTGAGAATTAACTGGATTCCAATAAAAACGTGATAGCTAGGGTGCATCTAGTGATTGTGGGCCTTTTATGTACATTTTGTCACTAAATGTGGTAGTTTTTTAACCAAGAAAACACAGGCATTTGGTTTGCTTTCGGTAAAGAAGCTGAGACTCGGGTAGAATGAAGTCATTATAGCTAAGATGGTACCAGGATTTGAATGTGACTTTTTTTTTTTCTCTAGTGGTTCTGAAATTTTTGGATCTATAGAATCATCTGGAGGGCTTTTTAAACTATAGATTTCTGGGTACCACTCCCAGAGTTTTTGATTCAGAAGACCTAAGGTGGGACTCGGGGACAAGAATTTTCATTTCTAACTATTTCTAAGTGATGCAGTGTTTAAAAGAAAAATTTCCACTTAACCCTTTACCTTACCTGAAATATTATGGGTTTGGGCTATAATGCTGTGTGGGAGAGGAGCACTGTCATGGAACCGGGAACCCCAGCTTGCAAGCCCAGCCGTGTGACTAATTTGCTGAGTTATTCTGTGGACATTACCTCACTTCTTTCGTCCTCAGCTTCCATCTCTGTCCCAAACTTGGGGATTTTGTTAGACACCTGGAGGTTCCCTCCCAGCTCTAATCATCTGTGATTCGCCGCCTCCAGGCTCTTTTCTCACCTGCTGCCTGTCAGCTTTTGAGTGTGATCTCTTGCTTCTTGATGCACCAAGACTGAAAAATGAAGGAAAATACAGAAAGAAAGAAAAAAATCCTCTGGAATTTCCCCAGACATGCTGCACAGCAGAGTTATGTCATTGGGCCAGTAGATAAGTGGTGGAAGGCACATGGAAACCCCACAACCACACATCTCCCCTCACCCTGGGAACCTCCTTTCATTTCACTAGCCAAGTGAAGTAAGGATTCAGAGAAGCCCAAGCAGACCTGACAAGGGAGAGTTTGGTTTCTCTTTAGTTATCCTGAAAGAGATTTCGAAAATTAAAAACTATCTGCCTCAGTGCTTAATCGAGGATAGTAGTGAAATGAGAAGGTGATGGGACCAATGTCCTTTTTTTAAAAAAGAAAAATTTTTTTTAATGTTTATTTATTTTTTGAGACAGAGAGAGACACAGCATGAGCAGGGAAGGCGCAGAGAGAGAGGGAGACACAGAATGTGAAGCAGGCTCCAGGCTCTGAGCTGTCAGCACAGAGCCCAACGCGGGGCTTGAACTCACGAACTGTGAGATCATGACCTGAGCCAAAGTGGGACGCTTAACCGACTGAGCCACCCAGGCGCCCCCCAATGTCCTTTTTTGAAACATAGCTCCAGAGTAATCCAGGAAGCATTTCCTTCGGGGTTGGGCTGAGAGGAGAAAGTTTAGCGAAATGAACCAGGGCAGAGGAAGAAATCTTGAGGGCCTTGCCTGATGATCTCATGTCATGACTGGCCACTTAGGCCGAGGACATCAGATACTTTTTTTTTTTTTTTTTAAGTCTTGAGAAACATTTCCAAATACTTACTCAATGTTATATTAATAGGCACATAGACAAAAGGATTACATATTAAAATACGTTTGAGGAACACTAAGAGAACCAGTTTTCTGACCTTCCTTGGGGTCCTTGGGGCCTTGCATGAACCAGGCTAATCAATGCTGTGCCAGCAAGGTTCACAGTGCTGTGCATCCCTCCATTCAGGCTTCCTCAGTGTCAAATTTTGTCCCTCTGCTGGGGGAAAAAGGATACTGCAATCTCAAGAGTCCCGTCTCACTCCAGAGGCCCCCAGCCCCCAGTGTGGCGTCAGAAACCAGTTGCTACACCAGTTACTGGTAACAAGAAAGGGGTGCCCATGATGGTGAGGGAGGAGCCCACCTCTGCCCCCTGGGCTGGGAAAGCCCTCTGCTTTCCCTTCTTAGCCCAGGAAGAAACTTGGGGCCAATAAAGACAAAGGGAATGGTTGTTAGGTAAACAAGCAACCTGTGTCTGCAGAGTTAAGCTCAAGGTAACTAAGTTTCTGAGCAGATCTTCACCAAGTGTCAAAACCCGGCACATCCAGGAATTCAAAGCAAACAATGTAATTGCTAGGGTGCTTTCTCCTCACCCCACCATCAGTGAGCAAAGCATGCATGCTATCTGTGGCCAAAGTAAAACCTTTTCAGCACAGTGAAAGAAGTTAAATGCATGAGTCTCACTGGGAGTAAACTATGTTCTCCAGTCTGCGGAAATAAGTTCCGGTGTCACAACTTCTGTAGAACCACAAAAACAGAGAGTGCGATCTTGAGGTATATCACATTGCCCTCTCCCAGAGCAGTGGACCTGAATCACAGCCTAATATGCCCCCAGCTCTGGGGCTCAGAAGTCACTCTTTGTGTACTTAATCCCAGGAGGGTTTTAGTGGTATTCTGGTTAGTCGATTGAGAGCACTTTGATAAAAACAATTTAACTGAACACAGTTTGGTTGGAAGAATCTCTCCAAAATGTTATAGTCAAAAATGCATATCTTGAGTCACCAATATTTTTAATTTCAGTGGTAACTATTAACTAAATACGCAAATATAGGCAAATCTGCCCGTAGACCACAGTGGCTGCCTCTTGCCGAGCAGGATTCTGTTTTCTCTGGTCTTCTTTTGCCGGCTTCGGCTGCACTTAATGATAAAACAGCCGAAGTAATGATTTTCTGCATTGCTTTTGTCAAAAAGAAAAAATCAAATGAAAGGATGTGGAATTTCTCAGGATTTGAGGGTTTTTGTTTTCCCTTCTTTAAGTTCTAATTCGCTTCAGCCAATAGGCCAGCTGTGCTTGTCTGGCAATTTTTCTGTTTTTGTGCATAGGGATGAAGGATATTTAGTTTGTTCCAACTAGCCCCTTCCTGTGAGTGTGGGGCAAGAGTAATTGCTGAAAACAAATTAGGAATTTGAGAAAGCAAAAAGCAGAAAACAGAAAATTTTCAACTGAATTTTTCAAAGTGCTTTAAAATGCATTAGAAAGGACAACAACTCCATGGTGCGTCACCATTTCCAGTGCTCAGGGCCACCAGGAACCAATTGTGCAGGGTGTCCACTGCGTGCCTCCGAGCTGCCTAGAGTGTGAGGGCGCCCCCTGCAGTCATAGCACACACGGACCTAAACATAAACTTGACGGAATAAAATACCTGTTTCTGTCAAATTGTTCTTGGTCCAGTTATAAGCTATTGTTGTCATGAGTTGGAGCACCAGTTTATGCTTCTTTCTCGGGGCTCCCAGATAGTCCTAAGAACCATAAGGAATTCTGAATTTAATGCCATTAGCCTAGAAAATCAGGTGCTGTTCTAAAGCTTCTGAGGAGGGCTTGTTTGGTTTTGTTTAAAAGACCAGCATTATAGCAAACACCGTGGATTTGTTGAGTTTCTATAACGGAACTGGTTGTTTTGCCTCCACACCTACCTCCACGGTAATATTTCTAACTCACTGGCCTGCCTTAAGTCTTTAGTATCTCCCCAACATCTCCTGGACACCACCTAAATTCCTTAGAAGAGGCTAGAAGCTCTTCATACCTCTGCCTCATCTCCCACCGAGCCCTTATGTGCACCCAAGGCCCCTTGACAATGAACTACTTGAAGAGCTTGAGTGCATCATGCTTGAGCATGCCTGTGCACATCCTGGTGCTATTTCCTAAAGCTTCACTGGCTCCTGATTGTCCTTTATGCTTGGCCTAGAAGCCACCTCTATCACCTAAGAAGACCTAAAAGTCACCTGTGAAAGGAAGTCTTCCCTGACCCACTCCTCACTCTGGAAACCCTCTTTGAACCCTTGCTGCCTCCTGTTCTGGTATTCACGCCACCGTGTTACAATTTATGATGTCATATGATGCACTATGTAAGCATGTCTCTGTATCCCCAGGGGACTGGGACCTCCCAGAGGTCAAAAATCTATGCCCTGTCACTGACCAATTCACAAAATTGGAATATGGCCAGTAGGCTAGATAATATTAGATAAGATTAGCGTATCAATGTTACATATACTGAAGTGGATAACTACACTGTAATCCAGGGTCAACACGCTATGGCCCATCAGCTAAGAATAGTTTTCCCATTTTTAAAGGGTTGTATAAAGTACAAAGAGGAATGTGTGACAGAGACCATGTGTGGTCCACAAAACCTAAAATATTACTATCTGGCCCTTTACCGAAAAAGTTTGCTAACCCTTGCTGTAGTCTCATAAAAGGACATACCCTTATTCTTAGGGAGGACCCACGGCCGTGTTCAGAGGTAAAGGCCATGATATATGCAAATTAGTCTCAATTCAGAAAATATGTTTGTACATACATATATACACACGGACAAGTAGATGTAGACAGATGGTAGATGGATAGATAGATAATAGAATGATAAAATAAATGGAATAAAGTGTTAATAGATGAATCTGGATAAAGGGTAGGTGAGTGTCCTTTGTAGTACTCTTATTCTTGCAATTTGTTGTTAAGTTTGATACCATTTAAAAATAAAATTTTGTTTTGATTCACTAAAAAAATAAATATAAAAAAAAAAACTATGTCCTGATTTTTCTGTACCTTCATTGCTTAGCACAATTTTACACATTTAGTATGTGCTAAGTGAATTTTAGTTGAATGAATCAATGAATGTAAATTCTTCTAATCTATTATTGTATGTATCTAAATCACAGTGGTGATTTAGAGTATGATTGGGAACATTACAGAGCAATCCCATTGGGGAGGCAGTGTCTAAGCATACGAAGTAAATGACAGAAAAAACGTGAAAAGAAATCAATAGTAAAAGTAGCTAACATTTCTGTACTGTGTACTAGGGGCCAAGCACTATTCTGTCTTTTACGTCTGCATGCTTTTCATCCATTAACTAATTTAATCTTTGAAGTAGCCTTATATTTTACATACACATATATTACATATTATCAGCATATTGTATAGTATATATGGCTATATACATATGTATATATATATATATATATATATATATATATATATATATATATATATATATATATATATATATATATATATATATATATATATAGTCATATAACAATATATATATAAAACAGAGAGCCCAGGACTCAGGTACAAACATATCATTTTGATAGCTTCCTCAGAGTTCCCTCGTTTATTTTTAAAAACCAGAGTGGCCATTAACAGCCATGTCCCATTAATCCCAGGGACCTAGCCCTAGTTCGGCTATTGCTTAGCAAAACTTCATCAACACAAAGGAGTTTCATATGAGCTTCAAGTTTGTGAAAGGTCAGTGTTGGTACTCCTTCTGCCTTTGCTCTAGTTAGGAATGTTGTCTAAATTTTTTCAGCAGGAGATTTGAAAGGCCTAGGCTACTTTTCAAAACTGTGTCCTGCCCTAGAAATAAAGCCCAGAAGATGGTCAGGATGTCCCAATTGTAGTTAACCAACCTGTCTAAAAACACACAAGGTGTCAGCTCCTACGCTCCTACAGGAAAGTCCATTTACTTTTCCTGGGTTTCCTTTTCCCTCTTTTTATTGGAATTCTTGAGTTTCTATATATGGGATTACATAAGAGTGTTTTGCTTTGGGCAACTTTTTTTCTTTTCTTTCTTTCTTTTGCTTTTTTTTTTAACCAGTTACAATGAAACATAAGAGAGAAAATTCACCAAGTTAGCAGTTGTGAAGGCAAATGAAAACAACATTAATTTTGTTGCCTGGGTGAATTTTCTTTAGCCTCATAATTGATAAACTATTTGAAACAGTAGAAATCCTTTAGAACTGGAGTATTTGAAGGAAATGAGTGCCAATTCACAGCCTCAAAACATAATCCAGCTAAAGCCTGTAATGTGCTTAACATCTGACTGCAGTGTAAAAACCATGTCCCCACACTGCATTTTGACCTTGAGACATTAAGCCCAAACTGAACAGAGGCAGCATGTTGAATTTACAACAGTTTGTCCCAACAGCTGTACCCTCCTAGTCACAGTCTCGCACAGTGACAAACTACGATAGCAGACGCTTTCATTCCCATAGTGACTTCCACAGAGGAATTATAAAGTACCTTGAGAAATTATGCCATTAATATCACTAAGTGCCCATAGTGGCAGAAACGGAAGAACAGAGGTTCAATGAAGACACAGGCTCTGTCTGGGACTCTGACTTTACCTCATTGATCTTCCCCAAGGCCAGGCTTCCCCTCCACTGCAGGAGTCAAAAGACCCTTCCCTGTAAATCAAGTACCTTCCACCTAGAACACTGTGATTTATAGAAAGTTTTCTGCTTCTGTGGGAAGTTAATCAAGTGTTTTCATTATGTTCTTATCCGCATTGCATCTTTCATTTTTCAGTACCTTAAACCAAAAACTCAAAGGTTTTTGTGATAATATAGATGGGCAAATAGCTAGCTAGATACATACATACATACCCCTTTGTTGTAGAAAATGTTCATTGTGTGTTTCAATGAGGTCAGCATATTCCTCACATATACAAAAATTCCTTCCATTGAGTGATGTATGAGTTGATAATGGACCTTAAAATAAAAATGGGATATTCTCTGTCTTATCAAAATATGCTAATTTTATCCAACACAATGCTGTGTTCCAGAATCAGCTACCTAAAAGACACCAAAGGAAACACAATGCCAGGAATACTTCAGCATAACAATTAACCTTTATGTTACTCTTTCATAAAAAAATTACTTATTCTGCTACATTTTCGGTTATTTGCAGCAGATGTGGTGCACTGAAACAGTGGAGAATATTTAAGTGATGAATAAATATCTTTCCTTTTCCCTTCTGTCAGATATTTTCTCAATGATTTCTGACTCCAGTGGGGTGATGGTTTATGGACGATATGATCAGTTCCTCCGGGAAGTTCTCAAACTACCCACAGCGGTCTTTGAAGGTCCTTCATTTGGTTACACAGAACAGTCAGCTAGATCCTGTTTCTCTCAACAGGTAGGTGGGGGGGGGGGGGGGTCAGGGGGAAGGACGTGTTAAAGGAAATATCTCTCAAACAGTAGTTTTTCTTCGGTATGTTCCTCCAAGTCACTACTTAGACAAATTCTTCATGATAAACTGTAGCGCATCTTCCAGTCTCTGACAACTGACCTCTGAACCAGGAACTGAACTCAGCATACCTGGAAAATAATAATTGGTGGCTCCTGACCGTGAGCCAGGCACCACGCTAAGTTCTTTACTCGAATTGTCCAATGCAGTCCTTACGACAACCCTATACCCTCAGCGTCATGCCTGCGATTATCACCGTAGGATCAAAAGGGCCGAATTGTCACTCAGCCTCGTATGAAACGTAAGTCTGGGCCAGCGCCAAGCTTCTCCAATGTCTAGCAGAGGAAACAAGAAAGGAATCGCATACCACGTGTAACACACCATCAGGGAGGCCCAAAATATGACAGACACGGATGCCTGCATCCCCCACACCGTAATGCATTAGGGGTTCAGAGTTACATGTTTGAACTGAGGGTGGTACAAATTAGCCCAGAGAAGCTATTTAGTGCTTGAGGGTTTCTGTGTTTATACCTGTCCAGTCACGTAGAAAGTCTTCATGTCTGGCACCATTCTCTGGAGTGATGCAATGGTAGTTTACAAAGCCATAAACTGAAGGTTTGTTTAAAATTTTTAAAAAATCCAAACTAACCAAGAATGTCCTCTAAAAGGATCCCTTAAATAAGAAATCGGTGCAGAGCCGCTAGTGAGAAGCTGCATTTAACTGCCTGGCTAGTAAACTTCATGCATCTGTTTACTTGTGACCTAGGAGGTCAAAAGTGCCTCAGATCCCTGCAGGTCATGGGTTTATGTAGAATCACAACTGTACACAACAACCAATGAGAGATGGGATGGTTTGATACACTAAGTGCTAACTCTGCTCCCGTGCTGAGTCATCCAGACAGCCTTTCTGACCTCTCCCACTCCCCCACCCCCAGGCCAGCTTAGGTCCCTCATCTCTGCCTCCAGATGAAGCATGCTCCCCTTTCGATTTCCCTTTGAGTTGGTAACATCAGAACGGTTCCATCGCCTAAGCCTCCTTCTACACAACTTCCTCACCCAGCAGCTCTCATCAGTCCACAAGTCCTGCTCATTTCACCTTCTAAACGTGTCTCCAGTCACTTTCCTCATCAGCACCTGTTGCCTGCCCTATTGTATTATTCTCCACCCTGGCCCCCGGCCCCTGGATTTGTTTATTTGGTGCACGCCCCATTGCATTCCAAACTATTTCCGAATGCCATCCTCAGGAGGCATCTTCAGAGGTTCTCAAAATGCATACAGTAGTACAACAGGGTAAAACTGCACAGAGAGAACATGAAGGAGGCTTCGTCTCTTCTCATCTATCCCTCACAACACCCCATCTAACCATGCCACTCACCTGCTGAGCAGCCTAATCGCCTGCAGGTTGAATCTCCCTTTCTTCCAGACTCTGAGAGCCCTTCCATCCTTCTCCAGCTCACCCCTCTGCCTCCAGATGCAGCCTTCTATCTCCGTTCCTGCTCCAACCACTCCGTTTTCTGAATCTGTGCTTCTCTGTCTCCAGTGTCCTCCCATTTCTTGCCTCCAACTCCTTTTTCTTGCCCAAACATTGCTTTCCCCAAGAAGCCTTTCACAAAAGACATAAAGCCTCCTATCTTAACCATCTTCATATCTTAAACAGGTTGTTTCCCTATCTCAGAAAAGGCACATGACAAATGCTTACCATACTGAATTTTACTGATTTAAGAGTTAGTGAGTCTTGGGGCACGTGGGTGGTTCAGTCAGTTAAGTGACTACCTCTTGATTTCTGCTCAGGTCATGATCTCACAGTTTGTGAGATCGAGCCCCACATCAAGCCCCATGTCGGGCTCTGTGCTTACAGCAAGGAGCCTTCTTGGGATTCTCTCTCTCTGTCTCTCTGACGGACCCTCTCTTGCTCATACTTGCTCTCTCTCACTCTCTCTCTCTCAAAATAAATAAATTTAAAAAAAGAGTGAGTCTTACCTTTTGACTGAAATTAACTGTTAAAATACTGTGAATTAATTCAAAACACAAGTTTATTAACCTAATTTTTTTCAGCTTCTTTACCCATTCCTCTATGGATGGACCCTTGGACTGCTTCCATATCTTGGCTATTGTAAATAATGCTGCAGTAAACACAATGGTGCATATATCTTTTTGAATTCGTATTGTCATTTTCTTTGGGTAAATCCCACTAGTGGGATTACTGAGTCATACGGTAGTTCTATTTTTAATAGAACTTTTAATCCATACTGTTTTTCACAGTGGCTGCACCAACTTAATTCCCATCAACAGTGCCTGAGGTTCCATTTCCTCCACATCCTCGCCAACATTTGTTATTTCTTGTCTTTTTGATTCTAACCATTTTGATAGGTGTGGGGTGAAATTTCACTGTGGTTTTGATTTGCGTTTCTCTCATGATTAGTGATGTTGAGCATCTTTTCATGTGTCTCTTGGCCATATGTATATCTTCTTTGGAAAAAATATCTATTCAGGTCCTCTGCCCATTTTTAATTGGATTATTTGGTTTTTTGGTGTTGAGTTGTGTAATTGTCTATATATTCTGGGTGTTAACGCCTTATCAGATGTATTATTTGCAAATATGTTCACCCATTCAGTAGGTTGTCTGTTTGTTTTGTTGATGGTTTCCTTTGCTCTGCAGAAGTTTTTTTATTTTGGTGTAGTTCCAATAGTTCATTTTGTTTCTTGTTTCTCTAGATGACTTTTTTTAAGTTTATCTATTTTGTGAGAGAGAGAGAGAGAGAGAGAGAGAGAGAGAGAAAGAAAAGTCAAGCATGCACATGTGGGGGAGGGGTAGAACAGGAGGGAGAAGGGGGGGGCGGGGAGGGAGAGAGAGATAATCCCAAGCAGGCTTCACACTGTCAGTGCAGAGCCCTATGTGAGGCTCAAACTCACCAACCATTGATATTGACCTGAGCCAAAATCAAGAGTTGGATGTTCAACTGACTAAGCCACCCAGGCACCCCTTGATAACTGTCTTTTATTTTAATATAGCCTACATGTTCAATAAGATTTATATATGATGTTACCACAGCACAAAGTTCCTTTTGAAATATCTTATAGACTGTCTTATTCCATAATTCTTTTTATATATCCTCAATGATGAAAAATTTATATGTGTTGAAATCATAATAGCATTTTTGGAGACTTCCAGGAGTGATTTTCAGCCAGTCTGATGATCACAATGGATAAGATTTTTTTAAGTATAAGAAGAGGCAACACAAATATAAATAAATAATAAGACCAGTTTATATTTGTGCTTCATAAACTGGCTATAACAGCAGTTTGAATGATGAAATTCTAAAATTGTTTGCATTGCTTCATTGGAGAAAGTACAAGCCATTCCAAGTAATTATTTTGAAAGACAGGATTATTTCAGATACTACAAATTGTGGTAACTTCTTAAAAAATGTTGTCTCATTACTTATACTTTACATAAATAGCTTTTTTTAATGTTTATTCATTTTTGAGAGGGGGAGGAGGGGCAGAGAGGGAGGGAGACACAGAATCCAAAGCAGTTCCAGGCTCCAAGCTGTCAGCACAGAGCCCAATGAGGGGCTCAGACTCCCAGACCATGAGATCGTGACCTGAGCCAAAGTCGGACACAACCTACTGAGCCACCCAGGCGCCCCTACATAAATATCTTTTAATAATAATGTTACCACCCTATAATACTTAAGCTATCTAGTATTTTGAGGGAAAGCTACCATTGTAACTATCTGCTGATAAAAAAAGATTAATTAAAGAGTACCAAAATATTTTGTGTGTGAAATTACAAGGACTAGTGTCAGATAGGTGCCTTGAAAAGGTATGATAGTTCTTCACAACCGATTTCTTATCTAAAGATATAAATCTATCCCTGGGCTGTCTGTTCTGTTCCATTGATCTAAGTATCTATTTTTGTGCCGGCAATACTGTTTTGATTACTATGGCTTTGTAGTATATCTTGAAATCTAGAATTGTGACCCCTCCAGCTTCGTTTTTCTTTTTCAAGATTTTTCAAGATTGCTTTCTTTTTTGGGGGGGTCTTTTGTAGAGAACAAACAGATGGTGACCAGAGGGGAGGTGGGTGGGGGGATGAGTGAAATAGGTGATGGGGATGTTGTTTTTTAATGTTTATTTATTATTGAGAGACAGAGAGACACAGAGCGTGAGCAGGGGAGGGGTAGAGAGAGGGGGAGACCCAGAATCTGAAGTAGGCTCCAGGCTGTGAGCTATCAGCACAGAGCCTGACGCGGGGCTCGAACTCACAAACTGTGAGATCATGACCTTCGCCCAACCAACTGAGCTACCCAGGCGCCCCAAGAGTACCGTTCATCTTGATGAGCACTGAGTAACATATAGAATTGTTGAATCACTATATTGTACACCTGCAACTAATGTAACACTGTGTGTTAACTATACTGGAATTAAAATAAAATTAAAAAAAAAAAAACAAGCAAGCAAACCAAAAACTAGCCCATCCACCTGATATTACAATTCAAAATTTCAAATAAAATAGTGATTTTTGCATATAAACCTGTTATTTTTTTGTTATTCATCCTGCTATAATATCATGTATTCATATAACTTCTTATTTTTGTCATTTTGAAGGAAATTTAAAATCCATTCCTTTTCCATATCAGAAAGGACCAGGATAATGCAGGCAGATGCAAACTGAGTTAAGAGGAAAGATATATCAAGAAGGGAAAAAGAATTTTTGGAACTGTAGACTGTTCTAACAGCGAAGGGTCGCTCCCTCCTCACAGGATTTCCTCCTAATCTTGTATGGCAAGAACCATTCACATTCACCATGAAGTATTTAGTACTTACAGAAGTGGAGAAAGTTTAGAAGGGAAGTTGTCCTACAAATGTAGAAGACCGAGCGACTGCTATGGGAATTGTGGCTTTACCACGACTGGGTAAAGTTGTAGAGAGCAAGTCTACTGTTTGTCTTTCCTTACCGTTTTCATACTGCCCCTGGTACACAAAAGCGACCCTCTCAGAATTGTCGCTCTCCCTATGACAATATTGACTCGGCCTCAATGGAGATAATCCAGTCCTATGTGTGTTTAAGTGTTAAAGCAACCAGTGGTTTAAATTCAGAACTAGCTCTTTGGGTATTAGACTGTATTCTCGTTCTTCATGTATTAGAGGTTAATGGAATGTCCTCTTTCTTTAATCGCAAAGGGCATGTACGCAGCAGGTAAATTCACATTCTTCTCTGTTCTAAATTTTTGTGGGGTTTTTTTGATGCAGAAAAAGGTCACCTTAAACGGTTTCTTGGACACACTCATGTCCGACCCTCCCCCGCAGTGTCTGGTCTGGCTGCCCCTTCTGCATCGGCTGGCAAATGTAGAAAATGGTGAGTAGTTACTACTGAGCTACGGCAGTTTTTAAAATTATTGGAATTGTTCTCTCAAGTCTACAGTTATTAAGCCAAGGTCGCTTAGTCGTTTTGAGTTTCGAAAGACCCTTTCTCCCTGATCCGTAAGGCATTAGAGGCTCACTGCAAAATTAGGAGAGTCAATTCCATAGAGTCATTAAATCTCGCTGTGTGCCTCTCACTTACAAGTGGAGTGTGGCTGTAGACTGGCTCTAGCCGCAGAAGAATTTCAATAGTGAATATAACATTTTTTAGTATGATTGCGTTATGTTTAGGCATGAACTTCCAATACTGGTATTCATGGCATTGACTGTTCCTGGGCACTTGGCCAAGAATAGGTGGAGGAGATGGAAAGAAATTAGGTTATGGTACCTTGCTCATCTGTAGTTACAAGCTTCAAATGGAAGCTTTCGGTGATTGTGGTTACATAAATAACTTGACCAAAGGCCATTGCTTAGTAGCATGTAGACAATTACTTGGATCTGATTATTTGTTAGCTTCAAATCTCAAGTATTTTACCTCACCTGCTTTATAATTCAAATTGTCTGCCAATGAGAGTGAAGCGTCTCTCGAACTACCTGAATTAGAACTGTATTCAGATAATTTACACATCTCTTTGGGCATCTGCCTGTCCATCTGCCTCTCAGGAAAGAAAAAAAAATTGTTAAATGGAGGCAATGTCACTCATGAAATAAGCCCATTAGCCACTCCATTATTAAAAAGAAAAAAATCCATTCTCATCCAGTGTTTCTACTCTCCCTCATATCCCTTTCTTTTTTCTCCCTCTCATTTTCCATTTCTCTAACATTTGCTCTCTACCCATGGGACGGTCCGTTGTGTTCATCATTGTACTTCTGAGTCTTGCAGCGAGCTGTGCTAGTCTCCTAGAGACAGAGAGCAGTTTGGGGGAAAGACGGGTCAGTTTGGGGAATTTATATTCTTGTAGTGTAAGAGATGGGAGTAAAAGAGCAAATGGCATTGCATAAATCTGGTATTAAAAGAAGGCCTATCCTCTATCCCATTTCATTTCCTCCACCTTCCACACACATGCTTGAAAAGGACAGCGAGAGTCCAGGGATAAACATGATGCTTCTCTCAGCCAAAATTGACTATCATCTGAAATCGTGGCACACAGCAAAACAATGCAATTCCCATTCGGCTGTACTTTTCCTTATTCTGGCTCATACTGTGATTTGCTCATTTTTTTCTTCATTTACTACCCCCCTTAGTCTTCCATCCGGTGGAATGTTCTTACTGCCATAGCGAGAGTATGATGGGATTCCGCTACCGATGCCAACAGTGTCACAATTACCAGCTCTGTCAGGACTGCTTCTGGAGGGGACATGCCGGTGGTTCCCATAGCAACCAACACCAAATGAAAGAGTACACATCATGGGTAAGGCCAGGTCCAGTCAACACACACTTGGCTGCATGAGTGTCACTTAGAATGCAAGGGAACATCAAGGATGGGGAGAGAATTAAAGAGCAAACCTACCTTCTCTAACAGTCCTTCCTTTCCTTTCCTTTCCGTCCCACCCCCCACCTCCCTGGGATGTCTTAACTGTTGTATCTGAATCCAGGGTAGCTTCCTAAGACTTAAGCTATAGGAAGACTCAAACTATGTTACTTCTTGGAATACAGACAACTCAGTACTGGGTTAGATAACAACTGACCAAGCACCTTCTGGAACATAATTTCTTTTTCACAGTAGGTTAAGGCTCTTTCCAAGTTTTGTCTTATTTTGTTTGTGGGTATCGCTTAAAAATTATTGTTTCTTTTTTTCTTGGTTTCCAAAGTTCTGTTAAGTGCACGACTAGAGCATAAAGGAAAGACGTGTGAGCCACGCGTCTTTTTTTTTTTTTTTTTTTTTTTTTTTTTTTTTTTTACCTTTTTGGAGGAGGGGAGATTGTGTCTCTATGAGCAAATCATCTTTTTGTAAATAGCGTGAGTGACCAACTTGCCAAAAATGACTTGTCAGTGTCTGTCCATGTGATGGATGTGTGGGAGGAATTTGACCCATGAGCTTGCTGTTCATGCAGTTTAGTTGGCTGACCTGTGTCTCAGTTACACTCCAAGATCAGTTCCCCGATGTTGTTCTTTGTACTTCTGTGAAAGTATTGCTCTATATATGGGTTGGTTTTTGTTGAATGAACCATCAGACCTGTCAACCCCTCTTGGAACAGTTCTGCTTTAAAAGAAAATGCAAACTTCTTTTGAGTTTTTTTGTATATTTTCTGTATTTCAATTAACCTATAGTCTTTATTAAAGAGGAACTTACTGTTCTTTTTTTGATAAAGGAGGTCTGCAGAAAATGCATTTTAAATCAGAATGTTCTCTCTAGGAATTATTATTGGGAACCAAGATTCAGTGTAAATATACCACTTTTTTTCTAGCATCTGTCAGGTTGTGAATTCAAGGCATCACAGTGATTCACTAAGGCATCGTCTGCTGAGGGCTTTATGCCAGTTCAGATGCCACCTCCCACTGTTGGTTATGTCACATCCTGAGGATGGATATACTAACACAGATCATGAAATACAGTTTAGTACAGAAGATAAGAAAAAACACTTTCTATTTTCTTATGGTCAGCATCCTACCAATTTTCCAACTTGCTCTATCTCAGATCCTGGAGGGCTAGTGTTCAAAGACTAAGCATTTTTCCATTGTTGTTTTATATAAACACCAAAGTCAGTTTAGGAGTCTCTTTCTTAGGGATTGTGGGCTCTTAAAATTATATGGCAGGGCAATGTCTTTACAAAGTAGAATCAGTCTCCTCAAGAGGATAAAGAGGCTCCAGTGTTTTATGGGGGTGAAGGGCTGTTGCTGCGGCTGTGTTTTAAATGTTCTAAGAATTACATCTCCTAGCGAAAGCCAAAGAGGGACTTCTTAAATGCCCCTATCACTTAGCTTTTAAATAATGAAGACAAAAGTCACTTCATTGTATTGCCACTTATGGGCTCTGTGTGTAAAAGGAAGCGACAAAGTTGTGAGTGGCTTCTCATGGAAAGGAAAAGTTGGCATAAAGATTTATTAAGTGTGATAGATGATTTTTGATAGATTTGGCTGGAAGATTTTAAGATAAACATCCTACTGGTCTAAATGAAAAAGAGCGATCATGATGCTCTGGAAAGAACATGAATTTTAAACCCTAAAGCCTCAAATTGAAGCTCCACTTTTCCTTTTTACTGGATGTATCCAGCCACACCTGAAACATTTTGCACCTGGATGCCTGTGAAACCTTCTGCTCATCTTCTCACGTCCGCTCCTATCTCCTCCCAAATCATTTTCTGTTCTTAAGCAGGAGCAATCCTTCTAGAATCACCTCTGATCCTCTCACCTCTATGATTTAAGTTCTTCATTGTCTCCCTCTGCACCTGAGATAAAGACCACAGTCCTTGATGTGGCATAGAAGAACTTCAATGATCTGCCTTCTGCTTTCCTCTCCAGAGTGGGGTCTCTTCTTCCTCCATCTGGAATTACCTTCTCAATCCCTTGAGTTTTGATCAGAAGGACTCCTGGTGGTCCCTTGAGTCCCAGCTCAGATATCCTATGCACAATGACTGCTTCCGTTTATCACAGCATTTGCTAACACTAAGCAGCAGGAAGCAGGTACTCTGGTGGCTTGTCCCGGCACTCTAGTCCCAGCATTGAGCCAACTCTCTGACTTAGGGTAGACACTCACAGAAGACTTCACGCATAAACCAGTGAATGAATGAGTGAGTGAACGAGCATCTATTGTGAGAGCAAATCATCTCATGAAATACTACGTAAATATTAGTTATTGTCACTTCTACCTTTCTTCTCCTTTCCAGAAATCACCTGCTAAGAAGCTAACTAATGCATTAAGCAAGTCTCTGAGCTGTGCTTCCAGCCGTGAACCCTTGCACCCCATGTTCCCTGACCAGCCTGAGAAGCCACTCAACTTGGCGCACATCGTGTGAGTATCTCTGCCCTCCAGATGAAAAGACGTCTTTCGTCATTGACCCACGTCCCCATACATACAAGGCAAATTCATGTTTGTTGCCAGGGACCACATTTTACATTTTAATTTAAAAAAAAAGAAAGTGAAAATAACGTGATTATAATTTTACTCTAGGGGTATACAGTACTTCTGTCTTGATGTGCAAGTAAAGTATGCAACACTAATGTAAATCACCTGTAGGTGGAAAATATTCAAAAAGCATCATTATAAAATATAGATGTGAGAGAGTTTTACAACTGAACAGTAACAATCAATGGAATTAATTTTAAGAAAATTTTAAGGCGCACTAAGCCTTAATATCACGCGTGCTTTGGGTCCCCAAAATAAAAACTCTTTGCTGAATTTATCTGCAGAGCCAGTCATCTTAAAGATGTCAGCAAATCTAGAAATTGTCATTGTCTTATCCTAAACTACACAACTTTAGAAGAATCATGACCTGCGCGTGGGAAGGTTGAAGAGGGAGAGTTGGGTGGTAAAATTCATCAGAACATCCAAAAATAGACTAAAAAATTCTTTCTCCAAAGTATTTGCGAGTTTGGTGGGTAGAGAGTGGGCTAGGAAAGAGTGCTGCCTCCCATTCTTTCCACCCCCCAGAAGCCTCATGCCTGGGAGCCTCTCTCAGGCCTGCATGGCCAGATTACAGGGGAGGCTGAAGTAGAAGAAAATATTTCTTCCTTGGTGTTATCTTGGGCTGAAAAGAAGAAACAAGCGTATCATCTGCATCCGTGCCCAGTTAGGAATTATGTAGTCAAAGGTATGTCAGAAAGGCTCTAGAAAAGGTGGTCTCCCCTCTATACAAACTCCTTTTCGTTTTGCACAGTTCAGCAGGACTTCCTGCACCGCAGGGCCTTTGTTTGCTTGTTGACATCCAGAGCTGAGCTGATCAGACCTATCAAGATTAGGAATCCACCAGGACAAAGTCCATGCCTCAGGCAGTTCAGAATATGACCCATTAAAGATGCCATGATGGATGCGAGCTTTATGAAAGTAGTAACTCTTTCCTCCGATGGACCTAAGCAAATACCATCAAATGATTTGTGCTGTGACATGTCTATGGCTTTATGTAAATACTACAAGGCTCTGTCTGGTTTGCTCCCAAGTGTGTTTTGAGGGTTCACTGTCTTCAGCAATACACACAGCCTGGAGGCTTTTGTTGCGGGCATGGGCTAAGCATCCAAAAAACTAATGTAAGCCAATTAGGTAGAATGTGGTTAACTTATTTTTGGAAATTTTTATCCTGAAAATAAGCCAGGGGTAAATAAATCTGGGGAGTATCCCAAAGGGCCAATCACTTGCAGAAAACGACCTCGTACGAGCTGTTCTTATTAAGATCTCAACTGTTCTTCCCATAGCCAGAGACAATCACTAAATTTTTAATAAATGAATAAAACTAAGTGAGAACAAGTCTATGCTGTCTGACCTCTGCCATGGAGTCATTTCCTATCAGCCTGGCTAAGAGCTTCACCCCAGGGAACAACGTTCAATCAGAGCTGATGGGTGTAAGGAAAATAGAGAGTGGATGTGAACAGCCTGACTCTAAGAGCTTTGCAGTGGAACAGAATTAGGATGCTTCCTCCCACTTGGAGACAAAATTAGGAAGTGAGGCAGAGTGAAATAAATTTCATGGTCAGTCACACTGCAGTATTACCTAGCACAAAGCCTGTACCCTGTCATGCTCCGGCCTGGTGTGTGTGTGTGTGTGTGTGTGTGTGTGTGTGTGTGTGTGTGTGTGTTATTTAATTGGCTAATGAGTAAACAAACTTTTAACCTTAATTTCTGATGTGTTATTCAATGAACTAACTGAGGGCAATCTCTGCACAATTTGAGTTCCTTGAAGAGTTTCAGGATTCTCTTAAAATTCTCCACTAATATGCCTTTTTCTGGAAAAAGTTCCATATATTTAACCAGATTCTCCAAATAGTCCTCGAATCAAAGTAGTGATCTATACTCACTGATAATATATTTTTCCAGGGTGAATTTAAAGTCTCAACTTTAAAATGCAAATTGTAGAAAATATTTCATTATTGAAATAACATACAAGAAATTCTGCACGCAGAATGCCCAATCTATATTAGACCAGAATTTTTTTTCTGTTTTTAACTTTAGACGTTTTTCTCTCATTTACTATTCAAATGTCTTTTTCCTAAATAGATACCCATGTCTTTTTCTTTTTGTTTTTTGGATAGGGGTATCTAAGACTTCTAATTTTAAAATATGCTGTTCATTTAGCTATTCTAAATTATCATAGATACATAAGGCTGCTTAAGTGGTGACATTTTGGTATTTTGGCATTTGTTCTTAGCTATTGTATTTCTTGTCAATTTTACCATGATTAACAGTCTCTATTCTATTCAATTCCTTGCTGCCAAAAGTGATACTTGGTAAGTAGTTCAATAGTCCCCTGTGTGCTTATAAAGACTTATAATCATAAGTGGTTATGAGACACAAAACAAGTGAGTAACATGAGGCCACTTTAAAGGTAATTCTGCCTTCAGCTGAACACTTTCCATTCACAAGACAAATGCCAATTTTATAAAAACGTCCTCTGTGAAGGTCTCGTCCACAGGGAAAAGTTTGCACTAGATCCCTGTGACTTTATCTTGTGGAGCTATTTCTTGTTCATAAGAATAAATCTGTTTAAAATTCCCAGCATGACCTACTTATTAGGTAAAGTAACTTCTCATTTGATTATGGAGAAAACAGGAACCTCAGTTCCTTTGACAGCCACCATTTGGTGCCAAGGTTAGTTATAGTTGTGTCCCAAGTTCAACATTTCCATGATGAACCTGAAACATGAAGCCATTCACTAAGAAACTGCAGTTTCAGCTTTGCGGTGGCCAGGTTCCATAGAGTAAATTTACTAGGCTCGGTAAAAAGCATTCCAACTCTACTTGTTTTCTCATTTCCTGGAGCTAGAGCACAAAGGGAAAATTAAAAAAGACAAAAGAAAACCAGAAACGTGGGTCAAGTTGATAGTTTCAAACTTCTTGCAAAGTTAAAAATGCAGGTATTTCATTCTTCTTACTGTTTTAAAATCTGATTTACCTAACTTTTCAAAAATCACATAGGACATTTGCATAAAATTAACATCCTTCTTACGAAATGAAAGTGTTGTGCTCAAGGTAGAATTCGTTTTAAACTAGCCTCATGTGGGCCAAGACACATCCTAGGTAAATAATGCAAAACGCTAAGATAGTCTTCAAAACTCCAGCTAATATATTTACAGTAGATGAAATAGTTAAGCGCTATTTTGACCGCATCCAACAGATAATGTCTTTTAAAATCTTAGAATACTGTTTAGCACCGAGTACCAGGAACCAAAATTTCAGTGAATTTTTGCAAATAGTGCTGTCAAAATTATAGCATCGCGTCCACTCCCATAAACGCACTGAGACAAACAAGTCTACCTTTTCCCCAGGATCTCTGCATTGTGGAATCCAACACCAGCTGGTTCCATAAGATAGAAACTAAACCATTGCAAATGTGTCTCTTGATCAAGCCAACACAACTAGATTCTGTAGGCTACTGTGATTAATATCTAGTGTTCAAGAATCCTGCACCGTCAAACTCAAATATGGAACTACCCTGAGATCAAATGTCCTCTGACTCAAAATGATGCCCTGCCTCATTATCCATATTCTGAGCTCTCAATTCCATCTCATAGAGCATATTCCAGCGAACCTAACATAAGACTAAAAACCACTTGGAGATGAGACAGGCATCTCAGCTCTACCATTTTGCCTGAACCAAGACCTTAGTGATAGGGACAGAATGCCAGGCGATAATGAAAAATAGCGTTGGAATGGCAGACCCCGTGTTGTCGGAGCTTGAGGCCGTGTACAATTCTGAGAAATACTGAACCTATTTTCTTTCTCTCATCATATGAGAAGAACTGAAGTTTATGGGATGCCTTGCACTATGTGCCCTATTATACGGAACATCCAGATAATAGAAACTCACTAAACCCTGTGGTGTTTGACAGCATCTTCACATAGAACAAATAAGGCATGGTATGCTTTTGCAACTGAGTCCCTCCAGACCAGGTATATTGAGAAAGGGCCATTGTTATGGGGAGCACAGGAAAAGCTTCTGAAGCCCCAGGAATCCTCTGCTTTCCAAGAGGATGTAGATTCTGCTTATCATTAATTTTTCAGAGCTTCTCCTTTTAGAAGACAGTGGACCTGAAGCTGCCCCAGAGTCCTTGCTCCATTCAAGAATGTGACTCAGTGAAACAGCAAGGCTCAAAGCTCACGGATAAATATTCCTATGGCATCCAGAGGCCTTCCTCCTAATTGTTAATGGACATTCCACGTTTTCAAGGAAATGTAACTTCCCAGAACACTTAAATAATTTCAGTGCAAAATACAAAATTTTGTGTTGATCCTGGGTATGATAGATCTCTGATCTTTGCAGCCCTTTTCCTGGAGAGATGGTGGATAGTTTTTAACTTGTGACTTTTATTTGTTTTAACTTTCCACCCACACTGTACTTTGTTTTAGGCCACCCAGACCTGTAACCAGCATGAATGACACCCTCTTCTCCCACTCTGTCCCCTCCTCAGGAAGTCCTTTCATTACCAGGAGGTAAGTTCCCATCTTATTATGAAATAAGCCCTCTCTTTGGTAATGACCCCTAATTCTGGGTTAAGAAAAATTTTCTAATGTAAGCCAAGTGTGGAAGATGACTGTTTGAAACTAGTTTGTAAATATCTGTCACAAGTTTTCACTTTTGCTCATTTGGATGCTTTCGAAGATGGCTGGGATGGCTTTTGGGATTAATGTCACTTCTGGAAACTTGCATTTACGGTTCACCCACAGTAGGAATGTGGGATATGTTTAAGTTTTATGATCAACACACACGTATTCCATCTCGTTGAGAAAGTCACCTTTGTATCACTTGGAATGGCCCATTTAAGCCGGGTAATTGGAATTTCAAGATGCAATGGGAAATTTCTTATGTACGTTCTGAAACATTGTATAATCTCATCTCAAAATTTGGTGAACTCTGGAGTTCCTGGGGCTAAAAGCTGGAGATCAAATTTGGAAGTATAGTTTCCACATAAGTGATTTCAGGGATTATAACAAGAACTTTTTTAAAAGGGTTTCCTGTTTTTTATACAAAGATTCACTCCCATGTGAGCAAAGAACAGGTGAAGCAAATACTTCTCTTAGAGCTAGCTTGATAAATACGCAGGGTCAAGAGATACTCCAAATCATTTGATCAAATCTCACCAGTAAAGTACCAGGAACTTATTTTATCAATACATGGAGAAGGCTCACAGGAAAGCAGAAACAAAGGTAAGGAAAAGTGGAGTGAGTAATGAACCTAAGATTTCAAATGCCTTTCAGCAGGAAAAAAAAAAAAAAAGAAAAAAACAACCTCATGTTTCATAAAGAGAACATAATCAGCCTTTTCCCCTGGCGAGGTTTCTGAAGTACCAGTTTCACTGTAATATCCTGGTACATTCAAGTGAGGGTTTGCAGACAATGAGACTCAGAACACTGCTGATTTTTTTCCCTGAGTTCCTGTATTTGCCCATCAACAGGAACGGGAGATGAAGATGTTCCCCATAATTGTAATTAGCGTAATAAATAGAACGTTGTAGTTGGCGGTATTGCCCCCCCCCCTCTAAATTAAGCAGGTCTGTAACAAGGGGAAATGAGGACGCACTTGAACCGCAGAACACCCACAGTGAAATAACATGGTTTAGGCGCTGTGTGTTCCTTTAAGCGCTCCTTTTCAAAGCCACAAGCATATTCAACCATCTTTTCCAAAACAAAATCATAAACTGTAAAATCTGTAAGAGACACGGGCCTGTACATCTATCTAGGGAAGATCTGCCATGATGTTAAGAAAGATGTGCTTTTATCAGGAAACCCTGCATTCTGCAAATGTCAAGCAGAGGTAGACCCCATCCTTACTGAAGGTCGTTTTATATCATTTCAGCTCGGACGGTGCTTATGGTGGATGCGTCTAGATGGATAACATGGCTTCCTCTCCTCTAAAATATCCCTATAATATACTTTGAGCTGTTGTGGTTCCTCCAGGGTGCGTGGTACCCGTTAGTCCAAACTATGATCACTTCCCCTTTTTCCCATTTTCAGTCCTGTTGGAATGTTCTCTGTGAACCACAGATAACGTTGTTTAAAGACTGCGGTTCTTTCTGTCACCACGGAGGTTAGCCTCTGGTTTCTGTTTTGAGGGTGCTGTTCAATAAAGCTGTGTACACTGAATGCCTTTCCTCTCTGAGTGGGCCTTGCTCTGTCCGTGGAAGGTTTTAATGAGGTCTCATTGTTTGCACCCCTCAGGTCACCTGAGGGGATAAGTGCATCCAGCCCTGTGGCTGAAGAGCATTCGCTCATAAAGCTGTATGTAAATCAGCTTGACCACGGCTCACGGTCAGTATCCCAGCGCTCAATCACTAATCGTAGTTAGTAGTTCCATAGCTAGACTGCTAGTCATTCTCCTCCATCACTAAAATCCTCTTCTCGTATGTCTTAGTAGAGATATAGAAGTCTTCCGGGATTTCATGAGATTCCGTGGAGAATGTTCAACTCGAACTGGGCTTCTCAGCTCTTTCCTCTCTTTTTTGCTTATGTTAATTGATTTCACAGCCTCATACCCGTATACATGAGATGCATATATATGAAGAGTACCAAGCCGATCTTCTTCTTTGGATGAAACTCTGCTTTTGTATAGTTTGCAAGACCCCAGTTGGTGATTTCTTAGATTCTTGAATCAAAGAGCCTCTTGGAAAGATCTTTAGCACTAATGGCATAAGACCAGGACAATGCCACATGGCTGGACCATATTGTAGTAAAAAACTTGAGAATTTGTATCCACTATCCTACTAAGTCTGGACCACTCTTCCCCCAGGTCAGGCAGTCTGATTCCTATTTTTTTATATATATATTTTTAATGTTTATTCATTTTTGAGAGAGAGAGAGCACAAGCAGTGGAGGGACAGCGAGAGAGGGAGGCACAGAATCTGAAGCAGGCTCCAGGTTCCGAGCTGTCAGCATAGAGCCCGATGCAGGGCTCAAACCCATAAACCACACGATCATGACCTGAGCCGAAGTCAGCTGCTCAACCGACTGAGCTACCCAGGTGCCCCTGATTCCTATTAAAGTAGCAATTTAAAAACGACCTTCATGCTCTCAATGCTTAATTTCTATCACTTGATAATGCTGGTTGGTGACCCACTGTTTATTTCTTAACCACGTCCGTACACGAAGGTCGATGGAAACCCATCATGCCAAATGTAGGCATAAATTATAGGTCCTGTTCTTCCTACAACTGGAACTGAACCAAACAGATATGACCTAGAGCTCTGCCCTCACTCCTGCCCAAACCCAACCGCCCTTTTTAAAATCTAATAAAACCTAAAACTTAAGCAAGCAAGAATGGCACTGGTCAGTGTTAAGGCAGCATTAAGAAATTAGGGAGCTTTAGCACACAGATATTTTATTTAGCCTGAGCTTTTGGCCTTTCGTATTGTGACAGATTGGGGAAAGATAAAGCAGGACAAGGATGAATTGAAATCACCACTCCAGAATCCTCTCTACAAAGTCCTGGCATTACTCACCTAGAGTCCTTTACAAGCATACCACTTTGATCTTCAGAAGGCAGTAGGGTATACCTTTGAAGTCTTTTGACACCCTAGCAATACACCTCACACAGATTTATGAGTGTGTGTAGCTCTGGTTACCACCACCATCTGCCACAGCACCCCCGGTTCTTATCCCTTTCTAGCTGGCACTTGATTCACTTTTCCCTTACGTAAAAGAAAAGAGGAAATTCTCAAAGGCGCTCTCCCTTAAATGTGTGATGTCTTCGTGTGTGTGTGTGTGTGTGTGTGTGTGTGCGCAGTTAGGTACAATGTGGGCCAAAGGACCCAATTCATGGGCTAATTCACCTCATGCATTTTTGTGATCATAACTATATCCCTAAACCTAGATTATTTTCTCATAAACGCGTCAATTTAAGGGAAAAAATGTTGGATCAGTGGAAGTCTATCATCACCACTAGGAAAAGGCGCCAGTAGCCATGTATGGTGTGGCAGCAACATTTTCTAAGCTTATGAAACATAGACTGTCATTATTGTAAGTAGTATTGCCAGGCCCAAAGAGTCCCTTCTCCCCTTCACCACCTTCAGCCCCTGCATATCTACTATCTTTGCTGGCATCATGCCCCCTTTGTAAAGTCCCAATCACCTTGTCAAAATCCTTGCCTCGTTTATGGGAGAAAGTTAACCAGGCCTTTCCTATGTAAAATAAGTTTCTTTACTTATGGCCATCTTTTTCATTAGCCACAACAACATAGTAAAAGTTTGAATGGCTACGTTCTTTTACCCCCAATTTTAGAACCATTTCTTAAAGGTTTCACATATATTTTCACAAATGCAACCTCTAAATTAATAACTGCTCACAAATCACTTTGTCCGTTATATATATAGCCAGATCTTGTCGCTCTCCCAAATACCAGAAAATTGCTTGTGATTCATAGAGTGTGTCAAACACCATCTAATATGCTGGTTTCTGGTTTGTCACAATGACATTTGGTTAACAACTGATACCATATTAGACTCAGTTACGTGCATGGGGAAGGCACACCATCCACCCCAACCTCTCCGCAAATCTGGATTCTTCCCAGTGGAGCAGCATTTGTGAGATTTGTGTTGGTCGACTGATTGGTCAGTTGGTGGATTGGTTTGGGTTTTCAACCACAGAAAGGCTAATCCACTGTGTCCTTTTCAGTTTTTTTCAAACACTTTGCTTATCCTAAGATGCTTTGCCTCACAACCCAGATTCGTTCATCAGACTTAAAACAGTCACACCTAAATTCTAAGCATTTGTGCTTTGGTAATCAGAAGCGAAGTGAAATAAAATCGAGGCATTGAATTGGCCTCTGAAAATCAACGTTTTCTCCATGGTTCATTTTTTTCTAGGATTAAAGCCCATCCTTTCCAGTCAGGAAAATAGATACGTTTATAAATCAGCATCGTAAAATAGACAAACTTATAAGCCGACCACCCTGAAGGTTTCTTCACTCTTTTTCACTCTTTATGTTGTCTGAAATTTCATGAAATTTGAAATAATTACTCTTTGAAGTTAATTCTTTATTCCTGTAGCCCCAGAGCTCCACTAATGTGCTAGTTTTATTTTCAAATTGGAAGTACACTGGTCTTTACACTCCACTCTGTTTCCGTACAAAACTAATAGCGCGTGATTACACCTGCAGCCACCTCCCTTCCGCCCTTCCATGACCTTTATTCTCTTCCTGCGGCTGCTTTAGTTCTTCTCTGTGCGTGCCTTGCACCCAGCAAACTTTTCTAGATGCTCTTTTGGCTAAAATGCAATTGACACAGCTTGATGGTATCTGGGGGGACGACATAGTAAATGTAGTGAATCACATATGGCCTAAGAACTCTTATTATTTCCTCCACAGTACCTGCTTAAAAGATGCTCTGGCTTTCATGCCAGCCTGAGTTGATGACAACTAATTTTCCCGCTGAAACACTGAGCTAGTTTTTATGCTTGTTTGCTGATTTGTAGGGGGCAGATGGTTTGTCTCAGATCTCAGATATGGAAAGCTAGAGAAGGAAAGGAAAACAGAATTTGTCCAGAAATTATCTCGACAAAACTGACTTGTGGACACTCTTTTATGGTTTTTAACTTAGTTTAATGCCCTTGTTGTTAGTCTGGGTTAATTATAGTGAGAGAAATTAAATAAAAAACAGCTTTTTTGAGATATAATTGACGTACAATTCAATGAATAGATTTAAAATAAGTGCACAATTCAGTAAGTTTTGACATATATAAACAATGCCGTATGTGCATATACACGTATGTTAATATGCACCTTAAATGTTCATATATATTATGAACATATATGTTTATAAGTGTGCATGTACACACGTAGAAGTATGGCTATACACGTATATGTGTGCTTGTGTTTACATACATACATGAGTAGCAAAATTTTGTTCACGATTAACAGTTACTTCCGAAGGGACCAACTTCCATGCTTCACCTGTCTGAACACCACGCAAGGTTATCAGTTATTTAAAATCAATAAAAATGAATATATCTGTTTTTAATTTGCCATTATTCACATATCATTTTCCATTTAACCATTGTGATAAGAATTATTTTACCTTACATAATGTGTTTATGTAATACTGCTGCTCTGTGAGACTACATCCAGGACTTTTATTTAAATTCTTTTATTTTCATGTTTAATAAAAGAAAAAAAATGTTTGACCAGGGCTAATATAGTAACACAGCATAAACAAAAGTGGCTTTTAAAACCATATTTCAGGTGTAAGCAAGACTCCGGGAACATTTCTGTGTGATCATGTTACCTTAGACCACCCCAAAAATGTTTGCGCTTCAGCAAAAATGCTGACACCTGTTGTCACCCTTCAAAACCGAAGGTGAATTTTAAATAAATAAATATGAGACATTTTGAACTTGCTCTATTGTTCCAGAGCTCATTTTATCATTGTATGTGTGCATATGAAAAAATTTGGGAAAAGGCCATTTATCTTTATAGTCTGAAAAGGAATTAGTAAGTCTGAAAAGGAATTAGTAAGAACATACAAAATTTTTTAGAAACAAAAAAACCTAAAGGAATATTTCCTGCCTTTTTTTCTTCCAGCAGAGCACATAAACTTCAGATTTACCTTGTCATACCCTCCAGGGTACGATGGTCACCACAGCCGTTAATGTTAGTGTGTGCACAGAGGAATGAACTTATACAATGCCAGGGACCTGGTGGGGGGAAAAAAAAGAAACAGTGAGAAAAAGAGATATGTGTATAGAGTTTTAGAGATGGTGACCCTGCTTTTCCTCGGGACTCAGATTAGAAAAGATTTATCGTACATGGTCAAGAGGAGCTCCAACTAGTTCCCACCTTCAGAAATTAAAAGGAAGGACACATTTTGATTTGAGAACAAGGCATGTAGAAGAAGGAGAGGCTTTTACAGATAGGGTTGTGTGCAAGCCATTGTTGCATTTTTGCACACTGACATGCCGAAAGCATTATTTCAGGGGAAGAATGCAGGTTTTAATGTGCCTGATCCCAAAGCCCACAATGAATTGGAAATACGACCTAACTTCTCCACACAAACAGCCAAGCTACAAAATGAAAGTTTAAAAATCTAGTGCAGTCTGTAAAACATGGTGAGTGTATATTGCTTTGAAGAAATGATAATAAACTATATATTGTTAGTCTCCTCACAACTCAGGAGAAAAGTTTTTCACTCTGCTTTCCCTCCTCGGGCTCTTTGGGAGCCACAGAAGAAATTCTGGTGAAGATACTTCACATGAAAAGTCTTTATAGACCCAAGCCTTAGGTGAAATCTGCCTCTCCTGTCAACTCTGTAAGTTCTTGATCCATTTCATTTAGAAAGAGTGGCTTTTTTTTTCTTGTCTTCATCATGAACTTGGCTTCCTCTATACATGGTTATATTTTTGGCTTCCCAGAATTTGAGAATTTGAGACTAGTTCTAGGAAGTACAGAAACTATGTGGACAATGAGTACCAAAAGTCAGAAATGCTCTTGGCCCTAGATACTAAGAGCTGTAGCAAAATGAAGTAAATGGTATATTTCCACAAACTCATAAATGCAGAGAGTGTAATTTCCATATTTTCCAAGAACTGGTTTTCCCAAGAAGTCGTGTGGGAGGCAGAAAAAACATAAAAGAATTTTAATGATTTCTTCAAACCCACACTGCCAAGGGCCAGTGCAAAGAAAATGACAACAAAATGAAAAGAGATGTATGCAGATAGAATGTCTGCTCCTCCTCCCTTTGAAGGAGGAAAGGATTTGGGAAGAAGAAGAAAGGAAGAAAAGGAAGAGAAGAGAGGAGACAGGCAAATGGAGTAGGGGAAGGAGAGAGGGGCTCAAAGAATTAGGAGGAAAAGAATAAGGCCACCAAAGGAAAATCTGGGCCACTGCTCGTTTCCTGAAATCAGCAGACTTCCTCCTGTGCTAGTGCCTGGCAATGACCAAGTGGCAGGATGCACTCCTGGGGCTCTGCCCACACATCGCCTTCTTCCTGTGAGACTTCACTGGAGTAATTGGTGGCAAACGCATCCTCATGGTTGATCCTCTTGTGTTTCTTTTCTTTAGTGGTCCTTTCTTTCTTCTTGTGCATTCAGCACCAGAAGTTGTACCTGTGTAGTTATTAGGCTTTTGATTTAAGGAAATACCATCACAATTTCTGGGATTCGAGGGACAAAAAGCATAACAGGGCAGAAGTAGTTAAGTTTGGAAGGAAGAATTATTGATATTTCACGCCATGTTTTTAGTGGTCTTGCAGGGATTGGAAACCAATTATATAATAGGTACATCTATCTTGAGTTCTAAAACAAAAAGTTGGGGAGGGTGGTAATTGGGCAGCAGAGAGACTGTAGTTACTGGATAACGAATACAGAGGGATATGCTTCAGGAGACAAGGTTTGGAATGCTGTTTTGGTGGGATGATGGGAAAATACCAACAATGATGGTGGCGTAAGGTGGCTATTTTGTCCTAATGGACAGTTTCATCACCTTAGAAGGGGAAGATCAAAATGCTGGAAAAAAAAATCATTATGTTCATCAAGAAATTAAATTCTCCTAGAACATTAATCATTTCATTCTTAAAGTCAATTCCATTTGTGTGCAGTTTTAAGTAATAGGTGCATCCCTGAAAAGCTAAGTGAGATCACACATTCAACAAACATGAGTGCCTACTCTCTCCTAGACATTTGCTTTATAAATCAAATTTTATTTTTAAGTTTTCCAGCGACCTTATAGTACATACAATACTAAAACAAGAATTCTAATCACAATATGCATAATCCTAATGTGATATTTACTTGCACATTTGTATTTTTTTGTGTGTGTGCTTCATGGTCTGAAAGAGTGATACTTTGTAATAAATCCTTAAAACTCATAAAGTTTTTAAGATTTTAACTACTTTACAAGCCATCTTAATACATACATATATTTTAGAACTTGTTGAAAAGTTGGGCAAGTTTTTGATAAGACCTCGTAATTTCAATCGAAGAAATTAACAACTTGCCACCAAACAAATCAGACAGTTAATTTTTGTATTCATCATGAAAGGGGTGGGTGGATAGTTTTAGGTCCACCAGTGTTACAGGGAAAAAAATTCTTAACCTGCAAAGGAGCAAGTTCCCTTTAAGTGCATTTACAAGTACAATTGCAATACTAACAATCAATACCATTTTCCCAGTGAAACATGACCAGTAGATCTTGGGTCACTTTGGCATGGCCACACTTTATGAATTATTATTTCTATTTCTATTTATCCCTTAATAAAACTACACTTTAAACTTTTCAAACTGGCATTTAAATTACTAAATAAAATGAGTATTCCTCATAATGAACCTAAAATGTTAAGAATTTGCTATAATGATGGGATTCTAGTCACCAGTTACAGACACAGGGAAGATGAATATATATTTATAAGGAGCAAAGGTCTATTTCTCTGTTTCTCTGAAAGTTTTCTTTGCAGCTTCTCAGCAAGGGTCAGGTGACTTGTGCCTGGAGTGGTAAAGCACTTCTAATATGACAGCGATCTTCTAACTAGGTAATTTTCAAGTGTGTATTCAACTCAGAAAGTTGGACAAAATAAGGAAGTCTGGAGAAGTGGGATCTAAAGGCTGGCAGGACTTCGTGAACTATTCGACTGTTGACATGATAGTCTGTAATGAATGTTGAATGGATTTTCATGATGTCCAGGCAATGCAATCTACTTGTTAAACAAATTGCAGAGGTCAACCCGTGGATCGTGGATGGTTGTGTAATTGCAATTATGGTTCTCGGGCCAGGTTTCTACTCCTAGTTCAACTCTGTGGAAATCTGCAAACATCTTGAACATTTCAAAATACCAAGAGAGCTGTCCAAATGGAGCTTGGATCTAGACTTGGGAGTGTCTGTAGCCAGTTCTATTCTTGAATGCATTGCTGTGTTTACCCTCTTCTTGGCTTTCCCATCTTATTAACTAGCTCTCCTCCCAAGGACAGTGAAGTAGAGCAGAACAAACTGCTGGCTAGGGCTGCTCCAGCTTTTCTGAAGGGCAAAGGGTAAGTTAAAGCCAGAGTGTCCTGAAACCCTGAATTAACTCAACTAAAAGTGGAGATTCCTTGTGTCAAAAATGCTTTGTGTTTGAAAGACCGTCTTTGATTTAGCAAAAGCAGCTCTATTATAACCCAACTAACGGCACCAAGTAGTTCTTTTGAGTAGACACATCTGTGTAATTCACTTTCCCTGATTTCCTTTTTTTTAAAATGACTAAACTTCAGATTTGATTTTCCAAAGGATACTTACTCTTTGCTTGCAACCCAATCAAGGTGTTTACTGTACAGATGAATTTCTTGGCTTTACTGGCTTGAAGAATGCAATTCTGTTTTCTTAAAAGTTACTTTACCTAATTGGAAATCTTTATTTTTAAACTTAGTGAAATGAAATTGTGTATTTCATTGCTTGGATTTTGCTTGGATTTTTCATAGAACATCACTTATTTTTCCTCTACCTGCTTGCTTTTCCAAATGCCTTTTCTATCACGAACCCACTCCCACCTGCTCTGCCTATTTCTGCCCGCCTCTCCTCCCAACACCCTTTCTTTCCTCCTGCCCTGTTTCAGGATACAGTACAGCCTGAATGTGGCAGACAGGCTGGCTGATGAACATGTTCTCATCGGGTTGTATGTCAACAGGCTCCGGAACAACCCACCATGGTTAGTGCAGGTTTGGCTGCTTGACTGTCCTTAGACAGGGTAACAGTCTGCTCCCTTGACAAGAAGTCTCAGCAAGGGGCAAGTGGATGCCCTTAGTGTCCTAAGGGTCACTAAGTCATCTTTGAATTGATTCAAATTAGACGTCCTTCATGACGTTAGTTTGAACACTTCCCACTCATATACCATGGAATTCATATCCTTGTTTAAACATAGCGAAAGGCAAAATTTGTGTAAATGGATGCCATGCTAAATGTTAGCCTTCAGTGGATGCCGGACTCTGGGTCTCCCCAGTCGATTGTATTATACGTGCCACGTCAAATGCCCGCAAAATAGTGATGCAAGAATTTTCTTATTCCAAGGACATGGATACCTCCACTGATTTGGAAGACAATGCTCCATTAATTTAAGATTGAAGTAAAAGAGAGGAAAAGTGACAGGATGGAATCATACCATGGAAATCATTTCCCTAATCATAACAGTGGGAGAAATTGTCTTTCAACTCTTCTCTGGCTTACAAATGTTTCTGGGTAGCCATCCTGATAAAGTCTGCTTTCAAGTCCCAGTATATGCAAAGCTTTCTTCCAAATGTGTTAAAATGTACGAATTCAGATAGCCCCTGTGTATTCAGATAAAGGCATTCTTAAAGATTTTCTCTTTCTATTTTAATTGCGATGTAGGAGATTCCTCTCATTGGTTAAAGTTACTCGGTTGTGATAATATACATTGAGTAAAAATGAAGATAAGTGGACAGACTATGTATTTATCATATGTTTCAGCCTAGTTTAGACTCCTGATTTACAAATGTGTTTACCCGTTTCTTAGAAATATGTGAATTTTGCTTAGTAACTCTAACTTTCTCTGAACTAAAAGCCAATGGACTTCTTTTTTTTGTAATTATTAACTATGAAGTGAACCAAGGGATTAAATTGCCTTTAAAATAGCTGGCCTCCTTTCCATTACAATTTCACAAAAAGCATCCCTGAAACACATGATGGCCATTACTCAGTCCTCATCACCTTCGCCACTTGGTATTGTTAGCCACTTCTTTGTTTCTAGAACTCTCCTTCCTGGACTGTTTCCTGTTCCCGATGCCTGTAACTGTTCTTACGAAATTAGTACGTGAGATGTTTTAGGAGATAATGATGTACATCTATTAGAAGTTACATATTTACCTTAATTTGTATCTTAAAAATATATAAGCAGCACCCTAGTTTCATTTTATACCATGTCCTAGTTTCACGAAGATGAAATTAAATAGCACTCTTCGGTTAACCCCACCTTTTGTTCAAAGTTGCCGAGCTTGTAGGTCACACAGTTCCTCTTCTTAATTGTATCTCAGCCTCTCAAAAGTATGAGCGAGAAGAGTGACAGCTTTAATCTTACTCCCAGTGAATTTGGTTCCCCAATGTTATATGGTATCTGAAACAATAGAACTAAATATGGAATTACCAAAAAAAAAAAAAAAAAAAAAAAAAAAAGTATTGACGGTCCTCAAAGAAGAAGTCAATACAGATTCAATTGTGTCTGAAGGCAAAGCTGTGGTCTCACACTGTGTCCTCTCCCCCGTAATTCTGAGCACATTCCAGCTACTTCCAGCACTCTTCTTTGACCTTTTCTTAATTAAATTTGTGAGAAAGAAATCTCCAAAGAGGAAATCTCACAGTTTGTCACCACCAGCCCTTTTCCCTACTCAAGTGATTGATCACAATGACTTGATGGTCACTTAAGACAGTAAAACCGTCTCAGCAGAGACACCTCACATCTGCTTGATGAACGCAGGAGGCCATATCTATTTGGAAAACAAAGCAGAATTTAAGACTGACCAACGAAGCCGACTCCTTGTGAATAGCTGTTGCCCTCCGTATTTCTCAATGCTTTCTCCTGTTCTTAAAAGTTCCCAACTCTCTTTTGAATTTCTCATTTTTCCTGTATTTCCTTTTTGTTGAATTAGATCCTCACCATTCCCCACACTTGCCGTGATTATATAAGCGATGGGGTGATGTCTCACCTTCTCTGTCATAATAGTTATAATGCTTCACCATCATTCAACTCTGGTGAGATATGTCAGGGTTATAATCCTAACAGCTACCATTTTTTAAAACACATGCTTCCTGCTAGCACTGTGTCAAAACCTTATTTACATAATTTCTCCTAGCCCTTAATGTAAGCCTGTAGAGTAAATACATTCATCCCCATTTTGTAGATCAGTAAAGATATCAGTTTACAGAGTTCACGTGACTCTCCCACAGTCATACAGCTACAAAACAGTGGATCCAGGATTTAACCTACCTCATCCCAAACACCTAACTACTCTGCTACATTGCCTCTTATAAAACCTACATAAACAGAAAGCCCTCCAGAAAGCTTTTCGTGACACTGCTCCCCGCTGCATCTACCCTATATCTATTTCCTGAAGTTGCAAATCCTACTACGTTATTTTTATTTCATTTTGACAGATATTTTGAGCACATACTAGTAATAGGAATGGTGATTGTGTTACCATTTTTGTATTTAGTTTATGCATTGTTGTTTCCCATTGTATCTTCAGTCTCTTGTATCTCATCATGGCAACCTGGATATGAATAATACATTTTACATTACTGGAGTACTTTGAAAATTACAGAACCCTTTCTTACACATTATTTGCTCATCAAAGCTCTATAAGTTTGGATATTATCAATTCTATTTCACTGAGAAGTAAATGCTAGCTCTGACACATTAAGAGACTTATCCAAGGTCACATGCTAGCAAAGGCTTGCGCAGAGGTCTTCTGACACTGGGTCCCATCTATTTTCCACCCCATTCGTCAGGCTCCCTATCTGCACATCCTTCATGAGAAGGTCTACAGATAGTAACCTAACTGCTGTTCTTGATTAAAATATTTGTTTTGTCATTATTCATGTATGCTCCTGCTTAACTCTGGGGGACTTTTCCCCATATTAAGGACTTAATACAATGGGAAACTGACTCATTTGTAAATAGTCTGCTGCTAAATTAGAGAAATCCTTGTGTTCTTGCTGGTTCTGATGTCAGATAAGCCAAATAAATGAACTGTGGCTCAAGGGAGAATTCCTGCTGTCTTCCTAATTCAGTGAAGTCTTAAGAGCTTTAACGGTTTTCAGCCACCTTTTCCAATGGGGGAGAAGGGATATCAAAATGTAATGAGTGGAGGGCTTTTTCTGCCCTTCCCTAAAGCTTATCAAGTGCTGGCCTTGCTAGTGGTTTATTGGGACCAACTGATGGGCAGACTAAGAAGATGGGAAACCAGCCCAGAACTTCCAACTCTACCCAACTCTACCCAACTCTAATTATATCCTTGATACCATATGCATAAGCTTCTGACATAGTATTCTCAGCTCTGAAAAGACTCCCCTCTGTAAGGGAGAGAGTGCAGTTAAAGGCTACAGTCTATCCTTTGATGTCATGATCAATTACTGTCACTTAATTAGACCCCTGATTGCACATAAACAGGTTAAAATTTTTTCTGCTTATGTTTTTCTCTTAAGAAAATTTATTTAAATAATTTTTATATTGTATAAATATCCATACCAATAAATTATATATTTGATTCCATTTCTGGATTTCATAGATGGGGTCTAAATTATTATCGACTTGCCTGCTTAAAACCTTTTAATAGATTTCTACTGCACTTGGTTTGCACCCCAGCCCTGACCATGGCCTACAGGCCTGTGCATGACCCAGCCCTTGCCTAGCCCCATACCAGCCTTAGTGTCATGGGCTTCACCCAACTCAGTCACAATACTCAGCAGCATCCACTTTGATCAGTCCTACAAACAGTTCCTAAAACTGCCTCAAGACCATGTTACTAGTTCTACCCTATGCCAAGAACATTCTTCCCATTTGACCCTTGACATCTCCTGCCATACACCCATGCTCTGACCTCCCTTACATGTATGTAAAGGCTTCTCTGGCTTCAAACCCAGATTAAAGCCATCTCCTTAAGTAGGTCTCCCATACTAGTCTCTATCATGGCCTACCATTTATTTCATTCTTTCCAGAACTGCAATCATTGGTTGATAAGTTGGTTGGTTGATTAGTTTACCAGCTATCTTCGCCGTGAAGCAGGGAGTTTCTCTGACTTGTTCATTGCCATATCTCTGGCACCTAACACAGAGCCTGGCGCACAGTAGGTGCACAATAAATATCTGTTAATGTCATGGTATATTGATAGTGCTATCTGTATAAAATTCCCTCTCACCCTAAACAAAATTATTAGAAGTTCTTGGAAAATCTTTTTTACTAGTAAAATAAAGATTTCTACTTTTAAAATAAATCACCTATTATAAATTAGCCCTTTAGTTGAACATTTTGTGTAAGAGTATAAAGTAGGTGAAAAAGCAAAGTATTCAGCTTTGCCTATGGAGCAGTGGTAAACCTGGGTAACCCAAGTATCAACAATTCACTGACATGGGGAAAATGACTGATGGGGGGCAAAGAAAAAAGAAAAACTAAAAGTGATATTGGGAAAGAATCTATTCGTCACTTTAACGTTCTCTGATTTCTTCCACTTTGTATTCGTTTTCTAGAGCTACTATAACAAAATACCACAGACTTTGTATCTTTGACAACAGAAATTTATTTTCTCACAGTTCTGGAGGCTGGAGGTCCAAGACCAAGGTGCTGGCAGGGCTGGTTTCTCCTGAGGTCCCTCTCCTTGGCCTCAGGTGGCTGCCATCTTGCCGTGTTCTTACATGGCCTTTTTTCTGTGCAGAAACATCTCTAGCTCTCTTCCTCTTCTTATAAGGACACCAATCATATTGGCTTAGGGCCCCACCCCTACGACCTCATTTTACCTTAGTTAACCTCTTTAAAAGACCTACTCCAAATACGGTCACATTCTGAGGCACTGGGGGTTGGGGCTTCAACACATGAATTTTGGGGAAGACACAATTCAATCCATGACAACATCAACACTAAATCCGCTGAAGTGTATGCCTTTAATATTTTTAATATGCAAGCTAAAATATGACCCTTTTTAG